GTGTCTGTTTGTGTGTGTGTCAGTGCGCATGTTTATGATTGTGCAATTTGTCTACGCGTGTGTGTGTGGGAGCGGTAGTGTAGCGGTTAGCGTGCTGCGCTACGAACCCATCAACCCAAGTTCTATTCCCGCTCACGGTCAACACAGTGGTGCAATATTTAAATGGGACCTGGGCCAGCCCTAGGTTGACTCAGCATTAAATGAGCACCTCGTCCCGTGTGTAAACATTAGCTCTGGGGCTGTTGGGGCACGTGCTAACAGCACGTGCCCCAACAGCCTGTTAAAGGCTATGCACAGGCAACGATCTTCATCGTTTTTTGGCCAGCAGCGATGTATGGTAGATGTGGCAATATAAGTTGTGATGAGAGGGAAATTGAAATGGATGAGAGATTTGAGAATATGGATAAAATCATTGTGGGAGGTGAGATGGATCCAGTGGGGGGGGGGGGGGGGGGGAGATTTCGGGGATGGATTGAGGGAGAAAGGGAACGGGCCGAGATTTAGAGAGACGGGGGGAATCTCTGGACGCGAGCAGATAAAGGGGAGGGCAACGGATGGGTCGTTAGGAACGGGATGAGAGGCAGCGTGCTGGGAAGTTATGGATGACGGAGAGAATCGATTATAAGACGGCGGGGCTAAGAGGCATATAGAACAGGCGGAGAGAAATGGCGAGATGGATAGTAGGTGGAAAGCATGAATAATCTCTTGAGGTACAGATTTACGACACAAACACAAACATCTATCTTAAACACGCATTGTTACGCTGATAAACACGAATTATTCCAGCTGTCGCGATACAACAAGCTGGTTCTGCGCGCTCCACATAGGACAACTTTGCAATGTTATGATTTGCTCCACACATCAAAGGAAACGATTGTATATTTTAAAGAGGCAGCCGAGTCTGATGAATCACACTCGTGACAACACGGACAGTTGCACACGAAACACAGAATTCCACGCCAATGGCTTCTATGCAGCATCCGTCATGTTCCACGTCCATCATTGCACGCAGCCAGAAATCAGTGAAAGCACCACGTCTGCCATCACCACCATCGCCATCACGTCACCATCACTCCCCTTTTTTTCGTCATCATGATCGGCATCGTCATGATGATGATCATCGTCATCGTCGTCGTCATCATCAGCAGCGCCATCGCATATGCCACCCCCATCTCATTACTCGCACTCAGATGAGGTGTACATTGGGCCCACGTGAAGACGTAACAGCCCCATTGTCAACGTACCGCTCGCTGGGTTGAAGGTCTCGAGCCATAAACTCACCTTTGCCCGTACTTTACTTCATTGGGCTATCGAAGGGGGAGAAACGGGGGACTGTTTCAGTGACCACCCGCCGACTGATGCGAGCCATGCCCAGGATCCAAACTCGTCAGGGGCGCCACGATGTTAACTACCTCGCCAGGTATACAGGAGTTCGTGGGTTCGATCCCGACCCCCGACTCCTGTTGTATATTTGGAGTTAGCATGTCTCTCTCCCCGTGGTCGCGTGGATTTTGCTCCGGGTCCTCCGGTTTCCCCCTCCACGTTTAGAAATCTGCGCTTAGAGTATTTGGCTGCTATAAATGTTCACACGATAAGCCAATTCATTGGGCTATCATTTGTGTTCGCTTCTGAAAAATAGCTTTCCAGCTCAGTGTGCCTAACCTGGTAAAATAAACAATAGCGTCAGTGCGCTAACCGCTGCGCCACCACTCCACCACAGGAAACTGTCATCCCTTGAAACCGGCACACAAGTCTTCCATCTAGCCCTTGATACTGTTGGGGAAGGAGCAGGTTCGGGAGCACGTGTTGAGGCCGGCACAGCAAACGGTGGGTCGTGGGTGGCGAGGACCACTCTCCCCTGCTGCTGTGTACACACCACACCACGCGCTCATTTAAGGCTCAGCTCACCTACGGGAGGTCCAGGACGAGTTCAAGATACACGTCACTGATGTTGGCCATGAGCGGGAATTCACCTTTGGATGGCGTGTTCTTAGCACAGCCGTTGCACGAACGCTCCACTCCCGACCCCACACAACACACGTAAGACACAGATCCCCCGTGTAGCCTTAACAGAGCGTAGGGGCAAGTGCTGTTAGCGAGCACCTATTAAGGCCGGCACGGCACGCGAGAGGTTGGGTGGCCAACACCACGCCCAGCCACCTTTGTCTCCCCGGCGGTGATGTTTACACACCGCGCCAGTTACTCATTTGAGGCTGAGTCGACCTAGGGGAGGCCCAGGACCGGTTCAGATAATCGTCACCGGTGTCGGCCGTGAGCAGGAATCGAACTCGAGTTGGAGCGCAGAGCACTAACCGCTCCCCTCCACAAAGACAAAGATCCTCCGTATAGCCTGAACATACCGCAGGGGCAAGTGCTATTAGCGAGCACCTACAAACCAGCACGGCGCACCAGAGCGTGTGTGGCCAGCACCACGCCCGGCCGCCTTTGTCTTCACAGTGGCGATGTTTACACACCCTCCACACGCACGCGCGCACACACACACGCGCGCGCTGAGCTATGCTTGCCAAGAGCCCATTTAGCATTTTGTAAACAGATGGAGAATCCAGATTAACATCCGCAGTGAAGGGCGGCGCATTCCTTTTAATGTCGTGCCGACTTCTCATCCCTGGGCGCTCTAAGCCGGAGGCGCCCCGCGAGGGACGCCTGCTCCGAGCGACCCCGTGTGCCCGACTTCCAGGAGGTCCCCCGTGCGTCCCGATGTGGAATGGATTGCTGCTGGTGCACGCGCGGCTGAGCGCATCACGCTCGAGAAAAACCCAAACTCCCGTCCCTGAGTTCGATTCCCAGCCGCGACTCGCACAATGAAGTGATGTGTTTTTTTCACCGATGCTGGGACCGCCCGCCAACCCCCCCCCCCCCCAGACCACCTTCACCAACCAGCCAAATGTACTGTTTACTTGATACAGCAAATCTGGCTGTGACGGTCCCACCTGATGACGAAGACTTGTGTTGCCTCCGAAACGTCGTGATTTTTATTATTTTATTTGTATTAATTTTAATTTCATTTTTTTACCTACGTGACTTTACCGAAAAAACCAAGAGTATGAATCCTTGCAGTCACGAAAGCTTCAAATCTAGAATGTGAAAGTATGGTCAAATTAATCTCGTGGCATGGGGATGGGGGCTACCTTCATGCAGCAGAGGATTGGTAAAGAGCTGTGCATGATATCCAGGTGTTGTATATCACGTGTCGCGCGTCACCTGCAGACACGAGAGGCGCTACTAATCGGCGAGATGTAAAATGCGAGAAAAAAAAACCCATCCTCGGATCGCATCGTCACGCTGATTTTGCGATAAATTAATCAAAATCGCCAGCGAGGTGTATCGTTTCAACCCCTGGTGTATACTGCAAATAGATACACACGCGAATGCGTTGAGCCCCCTTGCACGGACATTTAGAGAGTGGTGGCATAGTGGTTAGCACATCCACAATGAGGACCCAGTTTCAATTCGGGGCGACGATGCAAATCACCAATGGAAATCGCTACCTGACCCAGGCTCTCATTCACCCTCGCTGAACGCAGCCCCAACGTGAGTAACCGTTCCAGTGTATATCTTCACCGTCTGCACTCTATTAAAGCTTGTACCATATGTAAGGCAATACAAAGCCTTAATATGCACTTGTTAACAGTAATTGGTATTAAAAAAATAAATACTAAGATCGGATATTGCTATTTATGCAGAGTGATTTTAATTGCGGGACTGATTTATAATTCAGCGACCAAATGAAAATAATTGTAATAATCTGACAAGGGCAATTCAAATCAGGTGATAATTTGATTAGCTCGCAGCCATATATTTCACGAAATCACGCAAAGGGGTCAAGCATTACTTTCCAGTGCCGTGGACAGATTAATGGCTTTCCGTTGGGTGATTTATCGTTCTGCCCAATTCACAGGTGGACACCCCTATTTGCTGCTTTGGTCGAGTTCCAAAACGTGTTCACATTAAAACCCAACACACAAAGACAAAAGATCCCCCGTATAGCCTGAACAAACTGTTGGGGTAAGTACTGCTAGCGAGCACCTATGAAGGCCGGCACGGCTTACGAGGGGGTGGGGTGGCTAACACCACGCCCGGCCGCCTTTGTCTCCCCAGTGGTGATGTTTTAAGCAACACACAAGGTAGTTCTTTGAGGCTGAGTCGACCTAGAGGAGGCCCAGGACCGATTCGGATAATCGTCACCGGTGTTGGCCGTGAGCGGGAATCGAACTCGGGTAGGTGGGATCGTAGTGGAGCACGCTAACCGCTACACTACCGTTTCCTAAAACACAGACGGCTCCCAAGTCCACTGATCGATAAATGTACGCAGCACAAATAGCCTAACATCACGTATCAGTCGGTGTCGACGTTTGTGTATGAATAGTGAGGATAGTCTGATGTGAAGAGGTGCCTATGCTCCCTCTGGAGGCCACAGAGAATGGGAATTTGTGGTACGTTAGTTATATTCATTGAGGAGCGGTGGTGCACTGGTTAGCGCACTGCGCCATGACCCCAGTGACCCGAGTTCGATTCCAGCTCACGACCAATAACAACTGTCGGATATTTTAACCAGTCCTGGGCCTCACCTAGGTTTATTAAGCCTTAAATGAGAACCTGACCAGGTGTGGCGCTGGCCACCCACCCCTTTGTGTGCCGTGCTGGCCTTTATAGGTGCTCGCTAACAGCACTTGCCCTGATAGCATGTTAAAGGCTATGACGGGGGGTGTTTGTGTCTGACGGAATGCTACAACGCAGGAGCATGCGGAATGGCAGCAGTTTGGGGAGGCCCTCATCCAGCAGTGGATTGACAGAGGCCCGGGTCAGACACGCTCACGTTGGCAATTGCATGGAAGCACAAATGGAAAAAAATTTCAAACAAAAATCAATGCCTACGAGAACAACATTTACGAGGCAGTGGCACGCTTCTCACTGTGGCACTTTGGCATCACTGGGATGGACGTCTGTGCTGCTGCTGCTGTTGCCGTGCTGGTGGACAGATGGAGGACACGGTGAAGCGCATGCAGGAGGAGGACGTGGGCGTGCCCGTTCGCACCGTCAAGGGCTTCATGACCAAGATTCCGAGCGTCTTTACCGGTGCGTAAGAAAAACCAAATATAAATACCCCCCCTCTACCAAATAGCCTTAACAGACTGTGAGGGCACAAGAAGAGCGTGGTGTGGCCAGCCCCATGCCCCGGCCGCCTCTGACCACCCAGCAGTACGATTGCATTCACCACAGTTGGTCGATCGGCAGGCCACGTGTGGTGGGGTAAAGCGTGGGTACTCCACTTGCAATATGTCTACTCAGCGTGGCAGAGTAGACCAAACACCCTCTAGAGCTCCCTCTAGTGGCAGCCCTTCTACCAGCGGCAGCTTAAGCAAGCAATTTCAGGGCTGCACCTGTATCTCTGATATGGGTGGAAGCTAGTCTGCAGTAGAACGCCTGATAACCCTATTCTTCAGGGCAATACAGTGCATTTACGAAGCAATGCTGCAAAGCATGTTGTTAAGCCTCGAGAAGCCAGATTGCCATATCACAAGGCATTGAGAGATGGTGAGATGGCTTGGAGAGGCCTTCATCCAGCAGTGGAACTGATCGTGGCTTCTGATGATGACAATGATGGTGAATATTTTTCTGCTATAAGAAAATTTTAACGATTAATTGGTTTTTTTTTTATACGTGATTATGAGAAAAAAAACCCAGGATGTATGGACATTACAGATCTTGCGGCAAAGGTAAGCTGTCATGTGCGTCAATCAAAGCAGGATTTCCCAAACGTAACAATTATCCACCGTGAAATTACAAAAAAAGCCATGTTCATTCCATATTAAGGTCCAGATCTCCCTTGTGACAGATATATTACATTTCCAACAGCTCTCACCTGGATAAACAAAGCAATTTGAATGGAAATTGAGTGATGTATGCACAAGCACTGCCTTCTGGGTACACTTTAATATCGGAGTCTAGTTTGTAATATGGAAAAGGCTAAGGTGCAGCCCCTGAATTAGGCTTCATCACGCCAATGCTGAGAGAAGAGCCTCTCTCTATAGGGAGCTCTATAGCACCCCCCACTCCTCTCTGGAGGATAGTTTGGCCTACTCTGCCACACTGGTGAGACGTTTTGGAAGAGGGTTACCCACACTTAACCCCAACCTGATCGACTAGCTCTAGTAAACCCCTTTAAATCGCTGGGTGAATAGAGGAGGTGGTGGAGGGGGTGGGTGGTTGGGGGTGGATTTAAGAAACTTGCCCCACTGTATCTACTGCCACGCCAGGGGGATTGAACCGGCGACCTCTGGATCGCACAAGTCCATTGCTGCTGACCATTAACACCACAGAAGCATCCTGATGTGGATATTATCGTATGAGAAACACAGTGCAGCGATCCACGCGTGGAGTTTGTACGGATTTTTTTTGTGACTGTGGCTCTTGTATGTTGCACCTTACAGGGGCAGATATCATCCAATGGCTCATGAAAAACCTCAGCATCGAAGACCAAGGTATGTTGTGCATTGAACCTCCACTCCGATCCCCCAAGCTCGTCCCCACACTCGCCTACCTCCCTCTCCCTGCCCTCGTGCCTCCCCGCATGCTATCCTCTTTCGACGAACAATATTTCTAAACAATCAAGAAAAAAAACAACAACGACATTCAAAGGGAATTAGATACGTGCTGAAAGAGGCGGGGAGGGTAGGAGCGTAGGTGGAATATTCTGCATGTGAATGTGTTTGAACGTGGGTGTTTTATGCAGAAAATTAATACGGATTAAGAATACTGTGTCTCTAAGGTATTTGCGTGCGAGTTTGTGGGGAGCGGTGGTGCAGTTGTTTGAATCCAACGTATGTATCACGCAAACTCAGGTCATCTTCGCAGCGGCTTTTGGCTAACAATCGAATAAAAAAGGTCACTGCAGCGCGCCCTTTCAGATGCGCTTCTGCGGCCGTCTGGAACGCTCTCCTGTGATTCGGAATCCACTGGAGCTATGTACTTTTACATTTTCTCTAGAACTGCTTGTTGTTGTGTTTAATTTGTTTTCCTTCCCCCGCCCCTCTGATTAGCACGGTTGGCTACGTACGGTGCGAAAAAAGTTCAACATGCGTACATCGCCATTTAATGAATTATGCACATGTGTGAAGAAACCCATCGACACAAATTCGATGCCTGGCACCATCAGTAACCGGTGGAATCTGAACCTGTCATGGGCTGCTGGATTTGGACCATACGTCTCTACAATAAGCAGCGAACTCGCTTTCGCTGGGCAATGTCACACTACCCATATGAACTAAACAATTTGTATTTTACCAGGTAAGGCCCACTGAGCTATGTAGCTCTTTTTCAGAAGCGACCTGGCCACAAATGGTAGCTCAACGTAGTGGCTTATTATGTGCAAATGTATAGCAGCCAGATATTATGAACGCATGTTTCTAAATGTGGAGAAAAAAAGCAAAGGCGTCAGGCGCGTGATCGAACCGACGACCTCCTGTACACCAGGCGAGGAAGTTAACATCTCGCCACCTTGGCGCCACGTATATACATACACTCGAATGTTGAACACTTAATTTTCAACAGCTTTTGAAGACGAAAAACTGCTTCTACGTTTAATAATTGTATTGATTTCACTGCACTGTATTAAAATACCATTATGGAAGGGAGAGAAAGAGAGACTGCTCAGAATCAACATTTCTGCGTGTGCTTCACAGCCCTCCCAGCCTCACGGTCCATTACACGCGTGGACAATAACGGGTGTCGCTGTAGGTCAGAGGTTACAAAAAAATTCCGGGTCCTGATCTTTTTGCCCTCCTTTCCTGCATTGATCACAGCGGTAGCTGTGGAAAATTGTACACGAAATCGCATCGATACGGCACAAATGACATCACGGTGCATATAGTCTGGTGGGGTCGGGTGGGGGGCAGAGTCGTAACTCGGGACAAACGCCGACGTTTTAGTTCATTCCGACATGAATTGCAATTGACTTGTGCAACTCAATTTAGAGCGCCGTGACTTTAGGACGCTGCTGAGGTTGTTTCAGAAGGCGGTAACACGAGATTCCGTTGAGTAAATGAAATGAAATTAACTGTTGGGTTGCACTAAGCGCGCAGCCCTGGGAAGGAGCGAGTGGGAACTCGTGATCCCTCTGTAAGTACCAGGGGAAATGTAGTGAAAGTCTGGTGTTCACTGTCCATAACTGCAAGCCTCTCTAAAGGGGCCCTGTAATTGGTGTCTGTTTGTCGAGGCATTAGGCAGCGAGGGAGCAGATTGCGAAGAGGTTTTAACGGTCAAATCTCACTGCAGACCACGAACACTGTGCAGCGGCATGACCACTCAGTGTGCGATACGATACAATACAATTGTAAAACACAGTACGGTTGCCACCTCTGGGGTACAGAAACCAGGACGTAGCATGGGAAGATTAATATTTCAGAAGACCGGAAGAGGGGAGGATTACGTGCAAATTAAATGTCTCGAGAGGTGTACCGCTACTCACCCAGCCTTGTATAGTTGTATATTGGGGACTTGCTGAGCATGCCGATGATGACATTCCTCTAAATGTGCCCGATCTCATCAGATCGTGGAAGCTAAAGCAGCCTGGTTAATGATTGGATGTGAGACTGCCTGGTAATCGCAGGTGTTGTGAGTTTAAGCACGAGGCTGAGATGGGTGGCGAGATGGGAGATCTTCTTGGTTCTTTCGGTAAAGTCACGTGGAAGGAAAATAATAAAATAATAAAAATAAAACATAATAAAATAATTCTCACGACGTTTCGGCCACAACGCAAGCAGCCGTCTTCAGGTGGAGAACAGGTCTGTCGAGAAGGCAGAGTCTGAAATTCCTTCTACGTGACTTTACCGAAAGAACCAAGAAGATGAATCTCTGCAGTCACGAAAGCTTTAAATCGAGAGTTGGGAGATGTTCAGTGCCAACCTCTCGTGTGCGTGGGTTTCCTCTTGGGCGTTGTCAGCTGGGCCAGCCGAAACCCCAAGCTTTGAAGGGCTGCAACCCCAGGCCCTCTGTTTTTGAGGAACCCTGTCCCTCCAAAGATATACAGATAAATGCTGCTCAATATGGTTAAAATGCAATACTGTAGCACAATGGTACATCTCATCGGGTAATTTGGTAATTATTAAAGGTAATTTGGTCAGAGCATCACACCGTGTGTGGCGACCCAGTTTTGTGCGTCTAACATTCAATTGGGCTTGCTCGTTTTCAACATTGGTTTAGCTCCGCAATTCACGCATCGCATTTGTATGGTAGACATGAAACCACCGATACGTGTTGAACTTCTTTCGCACCGTACGTAGCCAACCGCGCTAATCGGAGATGCGGGGTGGGGGGGAGGAAGCAATGGCAATGCAAAATATACAAAGACGGCCCCCCCCACTCCACCCAAAAACTACAACAGCCCCCGGCCCCCTTCCATCTCACTTAACCGGTGGCCCTGACTGTCAGCGCCTCGATGAACGTGACGTCTGCCCCTGCCTCCTCCGTTGTCCTCTCCCCTCCCTCGTGTGTCCCGTCGCCCAGCCGAGGCCCTGCACCTGGGCTCATTGATCGCGGCGCACGGATATTTCTTTCCCATCTCCGAGCACGTCCTCACGCTCAAAGACGACAGCACCTTCTACCGATTTCAGGTCAGGAGTCGCCGCATTAATCAGTATGCTTGCTGGGACCTAACGCCTTTTCTCTCTCGTTCTCTCCGTCCCACCTCTCTCGCTCTCATTTGTATGTTCAGGCAGCGGGGTTTTTTTACATCTCTGGAAAGAAGATATGAGCAAGGAAGGCTTTCCTGAGTAGCCATTTACGCCTCTTGTGATTTCCCCCCCCCCATTCCCCCAACTCGCGATTCGATGAATTTTGGGATGATGATTTAATGAAATAACATATTGTTTGCGTTGTTGTAAACAGAGCACCACTGGTGGCTTGCAGAGGTCATGAGAGTGAATTATGGGAAGCAAACAAATCGTACGTAATCAATTCTCGCGCGCGTGATTAATGCGCACGCTGCGAGAGTGACGATCGATTGTAATCGATGAATTGATGCTTCGTTACATGCCTGCCTTGACAAAGGCACCATGGGCGTTTGCCTAGGGTTGCTTCAAGGGGTCCCCAGCAACGCTCACATTGAAAGTCAGTGCATTGGCACAGCAGCCTCCAAGACGCCTGCTGGGTTTGGCGGTAAACACGTCAAAGAGGTGTGTTACTGTGGAGTGATTTGCGCATAAACAACCACGGGGAAAAAACAGGACTGCTCAGTCGGCGTTATTAAGTTCGGTTGAAGGTGAAAATATCGCTGAGACTAGCCACGCATATATCAAATGCTCGTCACCGTAATATGTATGTATATGTGACAGTGTTTATGTGTAGACTCCTGCATGCTTCCACGTGCGCTTGATCCGCAATATTCTGCTTACTGTGGATGTGTGGTGGCATTAATAACGACTGCCTTTTCGCTGACCTCACGTTCATTGTTTATATCTCTAAAGCTAGGGAATAACCGTTTCGGTCGCTTCATATGAACGCATAAACTTCTGCTTAGTCCTCACTTTCTAGCATTTTTCTTCCTCCAAAAATACATTTTGAAACGTGAAAATATGGTGCGAGTAATAATATAAGTGTCAAAAAATAAAATGTGGGTAGTTGTTGTTGTTGCATGCTGCTATGCCAGCACCTCATGAATTAATGGATCAAGGGAACATCCAATTTAAGAACTAGTTATTTTTCCAGGCATTGTACGCAAATAAATAAAAAAGCAAGGAAATAATGAAACTAATATATAATGGCACCAGTACAATCATTCCGTTTCGTCCAGGCGTATTTATTTATTATTTCTCCACAGCGGGAGAGACCGCGGATGCCTGCATTGTCAGCGTTCCTTAAGCGATTAAAGGAGCTAAAAACACACACACACAAGGAAATTAAACGGCCGCGGGGAGAGGGGAATTAAAAGCCAAAGAGAGGTTTTTTTTTTGCATCGGCATCGAACAGAAGAACATTGTCCCGCAAATACACGGCACGCGGATGTGAAACTATGACAAATGTACTGCGGTTTCCTCGGCTGTGTCCAGCAAAATGCCTTTTTGAGTCTCGACATTAACTTGAGTATCTTTGCTTTTTTTACTGACAGAAGATCTTACTTAAGATGTTTGCCCAATTCCTTTCATGATAAATATATATTTTTTAAACCCGCACTTTCCCCAACAGTTTGTTAAAGACCATATGGGAGTCTTTATGTTTTTTGTATTTCACGCATGTGCACCCGATGTAATGGGCATATGAATGAATAATTTGACATGAAGGCTTTCGCGACCAATATGATTCGCAATCAAGGTTGTTTTTTGGGTCAGATCGCTGAAGTAGAAATGTGTCATTAACTCGTCACCACCGGACACAGCCCATTGGCACCAAACCTGCCAATTAGCCAATTGGCACATCTTGTTTACACGACAAATCTTACTAATTGGCTGTGTCGGGTGGTGGTGGGTGAACAACACATTGACACTTACGTGATCGAACCCCAAAAAAACCTTTATTATGAATAAATGAATAATCCCTGCCAGCGTAAAATTCTGAAAATTATAAACGTCCAATCCCTCGTATTTTTTTTTGTCTTGATGCATTTGTTGTGTTGCGGATAATCGGTAAACAGGTTACGTGACATGCTATGCTTACATATGCGCACTGGTGGTAAAGTTCAGCTAGACGTGTGTGTGTGTGTGAGTGAGCTATTATTGGGAACCAGCAGAGTTTTTTAAAACACACAAGGGGCCTCTGATATTACATTTCTCCAGATAAGTCGTAAAATTTAATACGTCTGTTACCCTAAAATAAAAAAAATAACACCGCTCCGCGCAATATACCCGTGCGTATCAGTCCGCAGCATGTTTATACTCGCCCATTGTGAATTTAAAAAAAGTAGCAAATAAAGCCCCGGAAAAATTGCAGCAATTGTTCATTGCAAAGTAGCAACGTGTCAAGATTTTAGACGCTCGCGATTATTTTAACAATAATAGTTTGATATATATATAAAATTGGCCAGCGTAAGAACAAACGCTGCCACGTTTAGCGGGATTGTAAATTAAAATACTCATTTTAACCTTTAAAAAAATCTTCTATTTATAAATCCTCGCGGTGAGTAATACGATATCAGCCACTGGAAATAACGGTGCTCCTGGAAACGGCGCGATACGCCCCTGAATTTTAACGTCAGTGAATTTCACTCGAACATTATCACCGCAGGTGGCTCTTGATATGCGAGTGAAGGTGGAGGGAGGATTTTTAACCCCTTAGATTGATCTCTCTTGCCTTTGCTGCTGGCCAATTTTAAACGCGTCTGTAAAATGCTTTGATGAATGCATGAGCGAAAGAGCATAAGTATTGCATTTCGCTGCAGTCTAACGGTTACAATAAGAGTTTGCAATGTGTGTGCGTGTATGTGGGCACGCCAGTGACGATTATCTGAGTCGGTCCTGGGCCTCCCCTAGGTCGATTCAGCCTCAAATGATTGCCTGGTGTGGTGTGTTAACATCGCCGCTGGGGAGACAAAGGCGGCCGGGTGTGGTGTTGGCCACCCATCCCCTCGTGCGCCATGCCGGTCTTCATAGGTGCTCGCTAACAGCACTTTCACTAACAGTCTGTTAAGGCTACACGGGGGATCTTTGTCTATTGTATGCGGGATAAAACGCAGGAAGTTGGCACAGTGGGGCGCACAGGTGGTGCATCTGTCAGCCATCAGAGGCGGTCAACCCGTAACACCTGGCTCTGCCCCGTGACCTCCTGCCACCAGCGAGTCTTCCACATTTCACGTGGTACAAGCGGTGTGATAACGCCATCGCCACTTAGTGGCGAACGGCGGCCGTTGTTGTGGTCGTGTATGTGTGAGAAGCGGTGGAGATATAATGTCGCGCACTCGGCTACATTGCAGAGCAACAACTGCAATTTCACATTCAGGCGGTCAAGCCAGACAACCGCGTCAGGAGCGGTGAAGTGTATCATCGCCGTGACGTCTCCTTCGTAATTGTGGATCGGGGCATTGCGTAGTTATACGTGGCATGGTCTCTTCTCGATGGCCACATTCGCACACTACTGGAGAGTTTTTAATTTTTCATTTGTGCATCAGGTATCCGCATCTGCCATGGTTTGTGCAGTTTGGCTCATCGTTAAATGAGAACATCGGGAGTGGAGAGACATAGACGACTGGATTTGGTGTTGTCCACACAGCCCCATCAATTTGTGTTGGCCCTAACAGGTGCGCCATAACGGTCGTAGCTGCCGTGATCTATAATGCTAAAAACTCGACATTTCAGGCATTGACCTTTCTTTATAGCATCCCCAATGAAGAAGGGCTATTGCCTGAAACATCGCCTATCATACAATTTTTCTTATTTTACGGCAGTGTTATTGACAAATGTGTTGAGTAACCCAAAGACCTCTGTTATGGAAAATATGTTGAGTGATTTGTTATTTGAGCGAGGTGCACTACTGCCAACGTAGCAACATCACCAAATAATTTCGTTCACATGCTTCTATGTATCTGTGATTATTATATTACTAAATTAATAATATTAGAAATTAACAATACATTTTTATTATCAGTCCTTTGTTAACCCTACTCCTAAAGGTAACCCTCCCTACTCCATGTTGTTCATGTGGGTTATTTGACCATACTTCACCACGCTGGCTAGCGTGGTTGGTGAAGTTGGAGTGGTAGGACACAGGCAAGGCTGGGTTCAATTCCCTAAATTGCTATATCATTACACATTGCTCATCGTGCAATAAAGACGTTACAAAAATGTAATTTATTTTTTTTCAATGGCAAAAAATAAAAGAAGACACGCCATCTACGAAATATAGCCGCGCTCATTTATAAACGCATCACGGTGCTAAATTTCCCCGCGGCGGATTTACGCCGACTTTAATGTGCTTAAAACTATCTCAGGTTTCCATGCGCACATGCTCTGTGTGATAATTCACGGGGCTCCTCCTGCCGCACATGAAAAGGCTATTTTGTTCAATGCACTTTTGTCTGCGGCACTATCCTCCTCCGGTCAGCCCAACTGGAGTCGTCCACGATATGCCCCATTCTCAACCATAACTCATTTTCCCAAGTGACCAGTTGGCTATTGGTAACATCGATCCTATATAATGAATGCGGTTAATCAGACGGTGGCTCGAGGTTGTTTTATTAATTCCTGGAGGGCTCGGGGCTTATTGTTAACGTGTGGTTGAAGCAAACTGTGTGCGTGTACCATTGGTACCTCATTTGCCAGTAAAAAATATGATAATTGGTTTTTTACCCTTTTATCTGGCAACAAAACTGACACCTTTTTTACGAGGAGTCATGTTTGTGAAGTACCGGTGAAGACACTTGACACCGAGGTGGAGGCACACGTATATTTATTTAACACAGCACGTTCGTGGCATACAGCACTGGAGGGGGTATCGGCCCCCTCACCCGACTAGCTAAGGATACACGTCCTAGCTATTCCTAGCCTGCCTCTTAGTCCTCCACTAATGGGCTAGGGGAGGCTGTCTGGCCCGACACTGGTAAGTCGGGCCCGGTACCCGGAGTCCCAGACCAGCTCTTAGAAGAGCACCGGCTCTGGCTCTCGGGACCTTGCCGCTGGCTCAGTCC